ACAAATTTATGTGAGCAAAAACCAAATATACAAACAGACAGCGCAAAGGTAAAACAGCCTACTTACATAAGAAACACATGTAAGTAGGCTGTTTTACTTTTGCGCTGTCTGTTTGTATATTTGGTTTTTGCTCACATAAATTTGTATTCGTCTTTTTGCAGAATATTCTGTATGTTATTGTTTTCTTCTTAGGCCGTCATAATACACTGATTTTGAAGTCATATTTGCAAAATTTCGGATCGCTTCGCTCGCCAACACGCATTTTTACTTACTTCTCTTATGCAAAATTGTTATTTTAGTTTTTCTATGTAAATACCCCCTCCCCCTCGAGACCAAAGTCAATTTGACCCCCTCTGATCAAAAAACCGTGCGCATGTGTGTCTGTGTCTCACATACACTCTGTTTCCATCAGTATGATTTGGAAATCTCATATTACATATTAGTTATAATAATGTATTAATGTAAGAAAAAAATAAATATAAGAAAGTTTATTATACCCTCTAAGCATCTGGCAATAATTGGCGCTACAGATAGTTCAACGTCAGCTGAACGCTTAATAAACTCTTTCATTCCACCTGTTCGTTTTTCATCGATTTCTTGCAGACGATTGAATACATCGGGAATTGCTACTTCGTAATGTTGTTGTTGCAATTTATTTGTTTTTTGCAATTGATTGGCATATTCATTTTTCGAATCGTCCGATTGCTGGTTTTTGGACGCCATATTATGCCGTTGTTTTTCCACTTCAGCTCGACTCAAATTCAAATCAGCATCTGCACGTTGATAGCTATCGACCGCTTTTTCGGCATCTCGATAAGATTTTTCATAGTTTCTTTTGGCCCGTTCAAGTGCACCTATTTGTAAGGCCAAATTTTGTTGATAGGTAGAGCCATCATTTAACGCCTTTTTTCGTTCATCACGTAGATTTTTTGACAAAAGTGTAATGGCATTGATAACTTGAGCTTGCAATTGTTCAGCAATGACTTCGCGCTGACCAGCCAAATCACCTATTTCACGTAAAACATTTCGAAATGCTTGCCATGATGTAAACCTAAATAGGTAAGTTCAATCACATGAAAAATGAGCAAAAAAGAATATATGCATCCAATTTATATTCTTCTACTTACTCGTAGTCTTCTTCTTCTTTCTTCTTTGGCTGATAATTTTTCACAAGTCGTCTGGAAGAAAAAATAAATCTTTCAATTAACATTTGAATATGCGAAGTACATTATTTAAATTTGGATCCACGGGAATGGCGTGTTTATAAGATGCATGGTGACATGCCAAGATAGACATTGAAACAGTTATAAGGTTTGGATCATTCATTCTTACAGATTTACATGGTTTTGTATACATATTGCAACATTTTATTTTGTTCATTTTATCTGACTCGATCCAGCAAAAAATTCAATACCAACATTGCCAAAACCATCGTGAAAAACACTAGCAATTTTAAGAAAAATTTTCCTATTCTTAAAAATCCTAACAAATCGAAAGAATTTTCCAAGCCTCAGGAGGGTAAACCCCCGTCTCCGCACACTAATGATTCATTTTACCATTTGTAATTCTGTATAGATGGTGAAATGCTATTTTACTCTGATTACTTCTGATTATCTGTGTTTGGTGAAAAAAATCAATTTACCTCAATTTCGATGCATATTCCATTTCAATTGTACATCGATCTCGGACGAATGCTCCATATTTATCCAAAAAGTCTATTCCTTTATGCGTATGCGATGCAAGGTTTTCAAATTGATCCTGAAAAGCACAAGAAATACAGCGTAAATAATTAAAATGTTTAAAAACAATATTTAAAGAAATCAGAATTTAATCCATATGACGAGACCCACTTCAAGGCAGGACTAATTTGTGAAAATAATTTGCATTAGAGTTGAAAGTTTAAAAAATGCTAATAGTTGGTTAAGAATTGTATTTCAAATATTTTGTCTTGAATACGTTAATTGACATTATCTTTTTATTCATATAAGACAACATTTCTTTGTTTCTTTTATTTGGAAAGGAAATACAGACTGAATAATATACTGATAAGATGAAAACACTCTAAACAACATTAACTGACCGATTTAAATATGCGGATGTGGATTTACAGACACTTCCGGAGAAACTACAAAACAGTAGAAAGAAATCGCATCAAGTGATTCCAATATTGAGAAATTTTACAAAATTTTCTTCAAATAATTTGAAGGTGCTCTGACATTTATATTTTCAAAACTAAAGTACAAATTGTACATTGTTTCATTTATAAATATCAGTGCTACTGACCGATCAGAAAGTTCATATGCAATGATAAACCCAGTGTAATATTGTGTTAGTTTTCAGAAGTAAATATCTAACACAATTCTATTGTGATTTATTACAGCTAACAAATATTTACCATGCGCTATAAATGTCAAATCGCTATATTAACTAGAATACTTGTACACTTTCACTCGTTTCGTTTTGCGTTAAAGGTCAAAATATCGCATAAAATATAATTCAATCCAGAAAAAAACATTACACAAGGCTTGAAAAAATATTTTTAAAAAATCAGTGATTTAAAAATAATTGTTACAACGAACAAGGCTTATCTTTTGAAGAGAATACAAAAATATGAATTTAACACGAAGTTTTTTATTCCACTTTCCTTTAAATGGAAATCACCGAATTTCTTTAATCTTCTTCTACATTCAAGTTGTAGATAATAAAATCTCGAAACAGCCTTGAACTTTCATCTTTATCACTATTGATCTTGTGACCCAATGATAATGCACAATAGTTTCCAATAAAATTTAAGAATTCAAATGGAATTGATCGTTTGACAACATAATGTGAACACAATCCAGTACATTTAGTTTTAAATTACAAATCTAACAATTCATTTGGAAAGAGATTTGCGTAATTCGATTTGAAATTCTGCAGAAAACATTTTGTTGAGGTAAGAGTTCTAAGTTCTTCATTGCTGTTTCTTTTCTGATTTCTGATAAAAGTGTTAACTTATTGTGTTTGTTATCTATATTTGGTGCATTTCTCATTTTAGCTTATTTGTATCAGTTGTTTGAGAATGAAAAGAAAACGAAAAAGAAATAACAACAACAAGGGCGAAGGTGAAAATAAACAAGATCGGAAAAAATACGATATTGGCATCTATCCGAATGAAAAAACGGCTAAAACGCGTCGCAACATCCAGAAAACACCCGATGAACTGGGTGTTGAGGTAGAATATTTTGATAAGTAATTTTTAATGTGTTTGAATCGAAACTCATTATTTTATCATTTTGAATTTTGAAGGAAAACATCAAAATACCAAAAATGCGAGAGAAAAAAGCTACCCAGAAAAATTGGTCATTAATTTATCAGGATGATCACAGACAGTTGTATAGCGCTGCGATATTGTTGCTGCAAAATAAAATATGCTCAAAGGTATGAATCAATTAAAGTCAACTCATTGCTTAAAGTTTTTGTTTTCAAATTACACAGAACTTAGTCTTATGTTTGACGTACTAATGTCTGATTCGTTGATAAGGTAGAGTTCAATACGAAGACGAAAGTTGAAACATTTTGAAGTTCCATACGTAATACGTACACTCTCCATTCCAAAAGTTCCGGAACTTTTTAAAAATAATGGATATCAGCGCCACAAACTTCTTGAAAACGATCGTTACTGGTGACAAGACGTGGTGTTTTGAATATGAGCCCGAAACAAAGTGTCAAAGTTCCGAATGGAGGCGACCAGAAGAAGGCCATCCCACAAAAAGTCGCTTGGAGAAGTCAAAAGTGAAGACAATGCTCATTTGTTTTTACGATTCAAAGGGTATAATTTATAAAGAATTTGTTCCAGCCGATCAAACAGTAACAGTTTGATCAGAAGATTTTATCGCATTCGGCCTGAATACCGCGAACCCGGCAGCTGGTCACATTTGCACGATAATGCTCCGTCTCATCGTTCACGAGTTGTGAGTGAATTTTTGTCACAAAAACAAGTAGTTACGTTGCACCACTCGCCGTATTCACCTTATCTTGCACCCTGCGACTATTTCCTGTTCCCAAAACTCCATTTAACGATGAAAGGAAAGAGAAATTTATTAAAACGTGCAAATAAGTTTATCGAAGCGAATGGAGAGTATATTGATTAATAAAAAGAATTTATCTCAAAATGTACACTGGGTGTTTTTATTTTTAAAAAGTTCCGGAACTTTTGGAATGGAAGGTGTATATCAAGTCCTTATCTTAAGAATAAAAATGTTCCCGAGCTAACGAATGAAAAGTGAGGAAGTGTATTGAAATATAATATTATTAAAGGAAACTTTAGGTTATCACATTTTTTTGAATATTTAAAACGTATGTCTCTACTCATAGCTGGGTATTAACCAATCCAGTAATGAAAATAAAATTAATTAAATATGTAAACGAGTTCGGTATTGACTAGCGGTTTAGTTACCGTTTATTTTCTCTAGAAAATATGAGTCTAAATGGAAAATATGTTCTAAGATTAATATAAAAGAATCAATTATAATTAAATATGAAAGGGAATATCTGGTTTGTTTTCGATGAAGAGAGCGAGTAGTGATTATATGCAATTAATATTCTCGTTGCAAATTCCTAAAATGAATAGAAGAAACAAATCCACTTTCGTGATTGTTGCAGAAAGTATGGATTGGCGATTTATTAATGTATGTGTGCGAATGGTATCCGATATTTACAACATCATTTGGTTAACGTTCATATATTTGTTTGTGTAATCAATTTTCAATTTATGTTATAAGCACATTTCTTTACGAAACTATAACCAAAAGTCGTTCCATATGTAAGTTATTTAAAAACAAATAGAATATATTCATTTAGAATAATTTTGTTGATTTTATATGCACGTGATAATGAATTTGTTATCGCTTCTGTCTTCATTGCTTTGTTGATATATCAGGAATGCAAATGTACTCTTCCAAGACCATATTTAGTTCTGCTAATGCATACTGATTGCGAACGCCATGGTATATTTAAAATGTTAAACGCATAGCAGATATCACATATCAACCACAAGAGATAAGACTTATAGTAACAAAATGTTCTGCTGTTCTTATTTTTGCTTTTGATTTTTGGATTTAGCCTTCATTCATGTAAATTTGATACTTATACATTTTCCTTTATTTAACATCAAACACGTGTCTAAATTGGTAATTCTGTTCAAAAAATGATTTTGTAAATAATATGAGAATTGTAATTTCTTGATATTTTCTTCGACATACATGTTCGAATTTGTACGAATTCTTTCCTCGTTTAATATATTTTTATTTCATAAATAATTTAATTGATGATTTAAGTTTAAGTTGTTTAAGACAACGGCCATCATGCAATTTTAATAGGAATAGTTATATTTAGTAAGTTTTCAAAAGACAGTTCTTAGTTTTCTATCTTAGGAAACAACTTGTGAATGGATAAGTGAACTTTTACTCGTTGTAAGTTGATTGTCGACTTTTTAATTAGAAAAACATAATCATTGAATACGTACGCAATTCAAAAACAGCTAGTTTATGTAATGTAACCAAGTGTTTGGCTGTCATAGTTTATAATTTACTCAGTGAAGACTAGAATAAAAACCAATATAAAATTTTTATAAACTAAGCAAGCATCGTAATAATAAATGACGACAGAAGAAAAAGAAAAAGAAGAAGAAGGGAGAAAAGAATATGACTCAACTGTGAAGCTGAAAGAGAATAAGTGCTATGCTGCCACACATTGCACAGACCGATATATTGGAAGCAATTCTATCTTCTATCTTGTTTGGGCTTGGTTGTACGACCGCCATGCCAATGTTTAATAAAATTGCATACACACAAATACATACTTGATATGTTTAAGTAGTGATAATAACGAAATGTGTTGTCTATACTGCGTTGTATGTTATTGTCAATTACATATATAAATGTATGTATACACTTATGCCTTACATACACACGTCGAATATGGTGCATGTAAAAAGGGCGAGACACAATGCCATTTCTTTCTCTCCTAAATTTTTTTTTTCAATAAATTGATATCTATGATATCATTGATGAAGAAAGGTATTTGCTGCCAAAACTAAAAATAAATTGAACTTTGACACAAAAGATATGTTCATATTTAGATATTGAAGCAGTACAACATAGATATTACGTTGAAATATTCTTAAAAATGATGCATTGGCAGAGAGAATTAAGTGAAGCGAATCCATTTTAAGGTTTCTTGAATTAAATTGAAAGATCGATTATGAATGTATTCAGAGCAAAAGCCTGTGAATGATTAAAACAAACAATATCAAATCACAGGCATTAAATACAATTTCAATGTGATATATATGTATATGTAAGATGTAAGATGTAATAGAAAAAAGCAATAACATGCAAGTTGTATTCATTTTATTCATTGTGATTGTTTCGAGTTGCAGCTAGATAGATTGTGTATGCATGGAACACAGAAACAACCTAATAAGTAAGTAAAAGTATATTCAATTTGTGTGTACACTTTTACACATACATGTCGAATAAAATGAAATATCGCGTAAAAATTTAATAGAATATTTATAATATAATCACTTACAACATACAACAGATTATTCTATGAGGAAAAGATATACATAATGTAAAGAAAAGGTGTTACACAAAGTCATTGAATGAATACGCATTCGATAAAATGTGTAAAACGTAGCATATATTGAAAATCTTCACCATGGTTTCATGAATCAAATCTTAAGGTGTTCAAATTTGTTATTACTTATTTTCCATCTTTGTACAAACTTTTCATGCAAATTCAGATCTAGAAATTTCTCTTCTTGTCTTTTACTTGTCATATGCATTCAATTCGTATGGACCACAAATAAAATTCCATTTTCTATAGAATAGAAACATATATGTAGCATCTTATAACTAAAAATTCGAAAATCATAGAATTTTAACTATAATACTTACCCAAAGCTCCGTTCCCCAACTCATATTTCCAAAATTGTCAGGCTATTTAAATCATTCAAGTTGAATAAAGGACAGACACCAACGTAAACAATTCAAGATAAATAAACGCGGATTTTACACAATTTTATTCGGACTAATGTAGTGAGATTAAAGCGGTTTTTATAGAAAATCGTCCTTTTCATTCCTTAGTTCGAAGTTCTGTCATAGAATATCAAATATTTACGTTTATGTTTTTATCTTTTGAATCATTCATGCGATCATAGCACACAGTTTATAGCAGGCTGCGAACAATCGTTTAAGTCTCAGAACTAGTCAATGTGATAAGTAAAAATTCGTCAGCATCAACCAAAAAAATGTAGTTGTAGTTGTTGTATATTTTTCGATTTCACGTCTTAAGAAATATATTGGTTCGCACATTCACATTAGCAATTCATGTATATTAAATAGGTATGTAAATTCAGGTTGAATTCCACAGTGAGTAGCCAACTTTTTGAAAGTAGAAAAAAACACACACAGTCCAAAATACGCGAAGATAGTTGGCTTATGTTTGGTATATGATTTATTGGCAAATCATTTGCTATTCAATATTTTTTTCTCTTATTGCAGCGGCTGTCTTGTTTATTAAATTCACTTATTTTACTTCATTATACATTACTTCAGTGTCAACATTTTTCCAATATCCATTTTTCTATACTCTCTATCACACTTGATAAACTAGCTTAGTTTCGACAGCCTTTAGTTGACAGATCGAAAAGAGAAAAAAGAAAGGAAAGGGAAGTGTATGCCAAATTTTTTGATGTTTTTCTCCACTTATTATTTTTCATATATCAATATAATAATGAAACACTGACTATGAAAATGTTTCGTATTGGTTCCAAAAAGAATTTGAACAATTTTTAACTTTGAGATATACGTTTGTATCATTTATTTGTGAACAAATTTATATTTTATTCAACACGTTATCTAAAATCAAACGTTCAAAATATGTGTAACCAATTTTCTTACGACCGATTTATTGTAGGCGAAAGATTTCAGTCTAAGTTTTACTAAATAGCAACCAATGTTTTTGTATCTGCTATGCTCTCACAGCAAGAAAGTTAATTTTTTTGGGAAACTCTTTGAATTTCTTTTTCAATTAGAAATAATATCCATTTATTTCGTCACTTCCATTTGGATTTTGGACATATACACCAACAATAAATATTTATTTTTTTATTTCCCGATTGATTTGAAAACTTGTCAAATGAAATGCGTCATGCAAAACACTTTGTTACATACTCCATTTACTTTTGTTGTTCTTTTTTTACTACCACTGTTTATATTTATTTTTCTTATTTTCTGTCATTTGGTCATTTGAATGATTTGCATGACTGAAACATTAAAACCAAAAATGAAATCAAGGAAATTTTTCAAGTGGCTTGATGTGTGACTGTATATATTACAAGTGAATGACTGAGACAAATACAATTCTGGTTTTCAAAACACTTCGGATCGCTAACTCACACACAAATATACACATACCTGAATACATGCACGAAACACAGACAGGCGCATAGACAAAGGCGGACAACGTCATTATAATAAAGAATGTTGAAACGCTATACATTCTTAGTATTCATTTATACAGATAGTCGTTATTATAGTAGTATAATTAAATGGATGGATCGAAGAAAGTATGTGTTATTTTATGTGTATTAGTATCGAATGGGGCAAAGGTTCTAGGATCTAAAGAGGTGGATATGAAATGTAATTCCATCATTACAAGTGTCATACAAATGTCTAACTGGTTGCTCATCTAAATGATAAATGTGTTGCCAGAGTTGAGAGAACAAGCGAAATTATTGTTGAATATCAGCGTTATGATTTGAAGCATTTTTGAAACAATCGTTGATTATCTTATATGCAATTTTTTTTTACAGTAATCTGATATCAATATTTTTTCAATAACATAATCCAAGCGGTTTCTTCTTAATATTTCTATATTTTGGAAGAGAGAAGATCGACATTTCTACATCGTTTCATAGTATTTTGTGCGATTTTGAACTCACAACACAATTTTTGGAGAAGCTCCGATTTCAATTTATATTTTAAATATTTAATTAATAAAGGTATTGCGTTGTTAGTTATGCCAATAAAAAAAATCGTCAAAAGTTCAACACGGATGAATCAAGAACTTGATCTTGAATGGGAAATTTTAAATGAAGATATATTGGTGAGTTGTCTTTGAATTTCATAACAAAAAAATTCAAAACGAAAGACCTTTTGCATGTAATATAAAAAAAGTTTTCAGCACCAGAAAACATCGTCATCTAGCGGAAACTCTAATAACCAAAGTTACATAATTATAATTACGAATCATTTGATTTTTGTTTATAATTATTGAGTTTTATTTTACCGAAATAGTTTTTACTTTGCATAAAAATTAAAGCAAGTTATTTATTTTATAAATTATACGCAGTTCACGAATTGTCTGCCAAAAAAGAGAGGTTTCAATAATTTGAAATGTCACTGAACCATTTTACAGCGCCAAACCACACTCAAGTAATTGAATTTTAATTCACTAGGTGCAAATACAAATGTTTTTTTTTTTTTTTTTTTGACATTTCAACTGTTATATTGCAGTGTTATTCTGACATCTTGCAAGAACAAAACTACAAATATAATTGCAAAAAATGCAGAAGTAAAATCGTTTATAAATAATAATAAAAAAAATAAATACTCATAGTTTTTCTAAAAAAAATTATGCCTTGACAATCGTTGTGCGAAACACGTCGTCTGTAAATAGTTTGCATATTGATCATTCAACACATAATTTCTCTTCTTAAATTTATTCAAATTCCGTTCATTTTTGTGTAGTAAACGCGTTTGTCACCGTAATTCATCAATATTGATAATACGTTAGTTGCGTCTAAAACCTCGTGAGTAATATAGTAAATTTTTTTACAATTTACACTACTTTTAGTAAAAATGATGTGCAAATATTACTTAAAATGAGCAGTGTTTTTTGTATCAATAAATGAGCAAAAGCGTGAAAGAGATCTAAAAAGAGAAATTTCAACAACACAGTCTATTATTTGATTAGTATGCACAACGTGTTCGTGATAAAAAGTAAATCCGTTTGCTTCAATCGTTAATAATTTAGAATTCGGCGAACTTTTGAGAAACATTGAATTTTTTTTATAACAAAATCCAATAATGCACATCAATATGAAATGTACGAACAGTCATGCATTGACGTGATGCAGCAAAATATTTTTACTGTAAGTTTGCCAAAAAAACTCTGCAGTTGTTAAAATTGTACAATGTATAGGATGTTATGAAGGATTTTATTCAAAAAAATATCGATAACAATAATGCGCATTGAATGCAATCGTAGCTTAGTAATATGCTGAAATGAAAGCATCGTTTACAGTCAGTGAATAACTCAGAATACGAAACATAAATACGAAATCTCGACCTAGTACTCTGTATTTCTCTTTTCCTTTTGTAATATCACATACATGTGTATGTTTACGAGCGTAAATAAAAGGAAATGCTAGGCAATGTATGTGTGTGTTTGTTGCACGGTATTTTCGACATCCAATTTAATCTCTCATCACACATCCTAGTGCATCACTTCAACTGTGAACCGTTCGTACGGTATTTTATGTTGGCCGTTCAATATGAAAGAATATATGCGCACTCTATGGTAAACCGAGTATATTGTCTCCTACATACACACATAGAGATAAAAGCATTCAGAGCAAATCTGCTTCAATATTCTTTTTCTCCCGATCTTGAATGTGGATGTGCGCGCGCGAGTTCTCCTCAATCCCTAATAAAATGGCGGGTGTGTCTCATTATTAGAAATACTTGCTGTGCATACGGTTAACAGCAGTGGAAAAATAAATCTGTGATTCTTCGTCCGGTATTTGATATTTAAGATGAAAAATATATAAGATTCGAAATTATCATCTCTCGTTCCAATTCTGCTCACAGAATAAACAGTTAAGATTATTTCGCTCATAAAAAAATGTAAGGAAGATTGATTGTGTTTGTGTCTTAGTTCAAGGTGCATACCGTTAACTAAGTTTCATTATCAGCAGTAGTATCAATATGAATACAATTACTATATTAAGATTGTCATCGGAATAGCATCATTATTCGTACCGATTCCATTTTGAACAGTAAATCTGTTTATATCTTATGTCGAAAATGAATAGTCAAAGTGAGAGTTTTTCGTTTTTCTTACCGTTATTTGGAATTATTTCAATCGAAACAAAGAAGAGTATGATATTTTTCATCTTGAAATGCCAAAGTCCCATCTTGAGTTCAAATATATAGCAAAATAAGAATGATAAAACTCGACATGAACTACGTAGAACAAATTATTTAATGAATTTCACAATAATGTCATTACAGGCAATTGAGTTCAATTGAGACTTTTTTCATCTGTTTAAAAAGTTAAATCACACATATAACATTCGAACATACACCCGAAATATAGTGGCAATAACAACACAACATACAAGATACATGCTTGAACTAATACAAGTGAACACAGATATTAACTGAATGACGAGAGTTAACAAAACGGGCAGCATTTGAATGATATGAAAAGTATAATCGTTTCCACAGTAACATTACGCTCTATCACTCTCTCTTACTCTCTTTTTCGTAGACAAACCATACGTTTTCTATTTCATAAGCTGTGTTATTCAGTTTATGTCTCGTTCATTCACATCCAACTGTCGGTACCGAATACTCTTAAATTTTTGTTGTATGCTATATTGTGTTTTTTTGCGTTCTGTTCAGTATATACAGGAACTTTAAGCGAATAACACAGAAAATCTTACTTTTCATAATCTACAAACCCCAATTTATTTTGTTAGAAAAGAATATTAAGTTAACGATTCAGATAAATTCAGAAGAAAATAGTTATTAGTAGTATAATTGTAAAAATTTGTGATACATTTAGAGCAATTTTCTAAAAAAAAGCAGTAACAAATTTATGATTGCAATGTTTGTGATGAGATAAAATTGAATCATATAAAATCGCAGTGAAAAATATCGATTGATACAAGTTCCGAGTTGAAAAAAAAAAAGGAAAACTCTTGAAGAATTGCTTTTTTTTTACAAAAAAATTGTTTGTTCATTTAAAAATTATTAGTTCTATGACGTCTTTTCAATGAAATTGACTTAAATTGGATGTAAACTTTTGTAAATGATACATCATATAATATGATTCATATTCTATAGTTATTTGATTGCAACATGTTTCTTCATCACTTACATAAATTTCCGAGAATGCGCATCCGCATCCCACAAATCCAATTCAAATACATATAATTGAAATTAAGAGTAGATCCCATTCTGAAAAGTGTATGTAGAAAGGACAACAATAATTTCAAAATATGTTTTATAGGTGCACAGTTTTTGTTATTCGAACAAAAAGTCATTTTGTATGTTTTGTTGTAGACCTCAAGCCAAAATTTATTTAGAAGAAATCAAATAAAATAAAATCACGTGTAATAATAATCAAATGAGTGAATTTCATAATTTGGTTCGCACCTGTCATCGCAACGTTTTTTTCATTCACTTAGTTGTACTTGTTTTTCAGCTCTTCGATTGAAACTCTTTTAAAAACGCATAAAAACAAATGATATTAAATAAAAATTGAGTGTAAAAAAATAAAAAGTGCAATCGAAACCACAAGCAGAATTTACTGCTTGAATCATAAAAAAATTTCATCAGTCAAACTGTATTCAAAAACTGTCAAACTGTGGGGTTCAGGAGCATTTTTTCTACCAACACAAGGGATGTATTATCCGGTAATTAAACTTTAATAATTTTATATTTTTGTTTAAGAAAAGAGTTGCCTACAGACGGCATTATCTTAGAACTTCAATTTAAAATGTATTGACATTTAGTAAAAGTTTTAGGTTCTAAAATAATGCTGTTCAGACTGTGTTAATTTCACTATAATTAAGTGTTTTTAGTTCCAGCCAATAATAGTTACTGAATAATTATTAATAAACAATATGGATTTAGAGACATTATGACTATAAGATACCCATTACATTGGTATACAGATTATTAGAAGTTTTTGTATATTTCAGTCATTATTAATTTATTTTCAAACCTGAGAGACCTTCGAATGAACTGGGCTCTTTGGACGCTCTCACTCAATCCGACCTGGCCCCAAAAAATATATTGTCAGTTTTCTGATTCAACTGAATTTTAGCATGTTTTATCTGTGGATTACTCTGGTTTCGCGATTTAAAAAAACTGGCTAATGACCATTACAAGATGTTAAGTTTAAAGAAAACGGAACCCAAAGTACAAACAGATACCATTTTGAAATCGATTTCGATTGCTACCCTTTTTCTACTCAATACATACATTAATTCATTCAATAAAATATAAATAGAAAATTGGTATCATCGAAAAATGTCAACTTTAGAAAGGATGGTTCCAAACTTTTGAGCAGTCTCAAAGTTTTGAGTGTATGTGTACGTTTAAATATGTAAGACAATATAGCTCGTGTATGAACGCGATATGAGAGTTCTGTATAAATGATTTTCTAACAATTGTTAGTTCCACATTCCAATATTCATCCATAGACCATTTGGATATTTCAAAGGAATGCATTTTTTTCATGAAATGATCAGATATAAAAAACATGAGTAAGAAAATTCAAAAGATGTGGATTTCTCAAATAAAATGAAAATTTTAAAATTCAAGAAATGTGTCATAATATAACTGCAACGTGCCGTTTTTTATATGAGAGCCTGAAACCCAAAACAAGTTATAAAAATTCTTTTCGGAAAAAAAGCATAAGAATGTATTTTAAATGAAAAATACGATAGAAAAAAACTGAGAGTTAAAAGAGCACATACAGAACTGAGAACTAAAACAGAATATAATTTCAGTTAGCGACAAAACAAACAAGCGATATGTTATATTTTAACTCTCAGTTTTTATTCTTCTCATTTTTGCTCTGAAAGTAAATATGTTTTTATTTGACTCCGAAAAATATTTTATTTAGCTTTCGTCACAATGCGTTGCATTTTTTCTCTTTCATGTAATATGACACGAGATTAACTTAGTGAATTGTTTGTCAACATTCTCTCTTTCAAAAATGATTTGGATACAACGAGGCATCTTTTAACTTTCGCCGTTTTAATGTGTGATCGAAGGAACAGAGTTTTTTACTCCAGTTTGATTTTAAATAGTACGAATTGAAAATCAGTTTTTGTTGGAGCACATCAATTTTGGTGCAGTACTTTCCCGAACTCGTACTCACAGAAAAAATTCCGGATATTTCGAACCCAGAAATCGGTTTAAATCACAGCGGAATGATTTCTGGGTTCAAAAGATCCGAAAATCCGAAAAACCGGATAACACTTAAATTTGAGACTTTAAATGAGACTTGAATCTGTATTTCAACGTTCAAATATCATCTTACGAATTTCTCTCACAGTTTATTTATATAAAGAAAACTGGAAAAATCTTCAAATCGATTTTTCTCGCTTTTCCGATGGGAAATCGAGAAAAATAACGAAAATTTGGTACCCCCACTGGGGCCCTATAAAGGGAGTCGACCACGATTAATTTGTTAATAATAATGTGAACTGAAAAACAATGATTTGAAATTCAAATTTTGAATTAAGAAATCGACAAATAGTTTTGTCGTTGCAGATCAATTACGAATACGACCAGCATATTTGTATATCTTCGGTGTGTTAGCGAATGACGGTAAATTGCTGTTGGATTTACACTGGTCAATGCATAAATATAGGAATCACAGTATACTCATCGTATCGCAGTAGCGACGTGAAATTAGAGCATTTGTTTTTGTTTATTTTATTGCTTTGTAAACAAATTCTTCTATTACATTTTGTTCTATACGAATCCAAATAAAATGTTTTTGACGAAAAGCAAATATAATATTTATCGGTGCCAAATAAACACAAATACATTTTCAGTGCTAAAATGAGAAGAATAAAAACTGAGAGTTAAAATACAACATACGGAATTGAGAGTAAAAACAGAAAATCGATATATGCTACTTTTACTCTCAGTATTCTATGTGTTGTTTTAACTCTCAGTTTTCTATATTCTCGTTTTGCGCTCAATAATTTCTTATGCTCTTTTTCCGAAAAGAATTTTTATAATTTGTTTTGGGTTTCAGGCTCTCATATGAACATGTTGCTGTTTTACTTTAACAAATATCTTGAGCTCACGAATATTCTAACCGTTTCAAATTTAACGAAGAATG